CTGCAGCAGCAGCAGCAGCGGCTGCTGCTGCTGCTGCTGCAGGAGACTCTCCTTGTTGCTGATGGAAGCTGGCGTTAAGCGGCGGTAAGATGTGCATGCGTTCTGCAGATGGGCTTTGCTGCTGTTGTTGCAGCAGCAGCAAATGCTGCTGCTGCTTCTGCTGCAGTGCTGCGCGTTCGTCAGGGGCAGGGCAGCAGCATCCCAGCGGCAAGGCATCGTGGCCCTGCAGAGGCTTGTGCTGCAGCTGATGATCCGCCTGCTGCTGCGGCTGCAGCCGCTGCTGCTGTTCGTGCTGCTTGAGCTGCTGCTCCTGCAGCTGCAGCGGCTGACACGGGAGACTAAGTGCTGTTGGCTGCCGCAGCGGGACCTCAGCAATCCCCTCCATGGAGTGTCTAGCTGCGAGGAAGCTGCTGCTGCTGCTGCTGCTGCTGCTGCCGTCCATCCAAGAGCAGTAGCCTTGCTGGACCTCTCCATGGTTGCTGCTGCTGCTTGAACCTTGCTGCAGCAGGAGCTGTCCTGCGAGCTGCTCGTCTGCTGCTTCGCCTTTGCTGTTGCTGCAGGGGATTCTAGCAAGAAGTTCGTATGGGGTCAGGTGCTGCTGCTGCTCCTGCTGCTTCTCCAGCGGCAGAAAAAGCTGCTGCTGCTGCTGCTGCTCGTGCTGCAGCAGCAGCTGCGGCGGCGGCTTCTTGACCAGCTGCAGCTGCTGCAGCTGTTCATCCTCCAGCAGCTCTTCGCCTCTTCTCTGTATGTGCACCTCATAAAGCTTCGTGCTGCCTTTGTAAGTTGGTCTTGAGTCCAAGAACGGGTTGCTGCAAAGACGCAGCAGCAGCAGCAGCAGCAGCAGCAGCAGCTTCAGCAGCAGCAACAGCTGCTGCTGCAGCAACAGTTGCAGCTTGAAGGCGGCATCAAATGTGGCAGCAGATGCCACAGCGACGGAGCCACGAAGGGCCGCAGCGTCACCTACTCTGAGAGCTGCACCAACAACTACAAAAACAGCAACAGCAGCAACAGCAACAGCAGCAACAGCAGCAACAGCAGCAGCACCAGCACCAGCAACGGCAGGCTCACGTGTCCAGCAGCAGCGGCTGCAGCAGCGGATTGACAGGAAAGTCAACTCGAAGTCCAAAGGGCGAAGGCCTTTTCCAGCGGCTTGGTGGCTTCTTGCGGAGAGTGCCGTAAGAGAAGGCTGGCTGCTGCTGCTGCTGCTGCAGCTGCTGCGGGCGCTGGGTCTGCAGCTGCAGCAGCTCCTGCAGCTGCTGCTGCTGTGACCCCTGCTGCTGCCCGACCTGCTGCGCCGCCTGCTGCTTCTGCTGCTGCTTCTGCTGGCGCTGCTGCAGCAAAGCCAGCCGCGCTGGCAGCTGTCTCAAGAGGAGCTGCTGCTGCTGCTGCTGCTTACCTTGCTGCTCCGAAGCAACAGCAGCAGCAAGGCAGTCTGACGAGGGCGACTCGAGCGCCGGCCACTGCAGCGCTGCGCTGCGGGCGGCTGCTGCTGCCTGCTGCGCTCTCTGCTGCTTGCCGCAGCTTCCAGCAGCAGCAGCAGCTGCTGCTGCTGCTGCTGCTGCTGCTCCCAGCGGCTTCCCCTTGACCTTTCCCGTGCTGTCCCCCATTTGTCTTTTTGCTGGAGACAGCGGGGGCGGCTGCATTCTGCGCATGAGTCTGCGGCGCTGCCTTTGGTGCTGCTTGTACTGCTGCTGCTGCTGCTGCTGCTGCAGCACGGAGGCTGCCGCAGGCAGATTAGCCGGAAGACTGAGGCCCTTCTTTAGGCCCCGCGGCAGTGCTTCGGGTGTTTCTGCAGCAGAGAGAGCAGCAGCCGCAGCAGCAGCAGCAGCAGCGGATCTTGCCTCTTTAAGTGAAGAGTGGCCTATTGTGCGAGGCCTCTGCCGCTGCAGCAGCAGCAGCTGCTGCTGCTGCGGTTGCTGCTGTTGTTGCTGCTCGGGTTCTTGTGCGGATGGCTCCCTTTGCGTCTGCCTCTGCAGCAACTGCAGAGGCTCATGGTAAACTTCCTGCTGCTGCTGGGGCTGCTGCTGCTGCAGCTGCTGCTGCTGCTGCTGCAGCTGCGTCCTACGACGCTGCTCGGGCTTCACCTCAGACCCTCCCCATGGAGAGTTGTCTCCCTTGTGCTGCTGCCGCTGCTGCTGCTGCTGCTGCTGCTCTGCCTCTGAGTTGTCGTCATTTTGCTGCTTATGGTGCTGCTTCTGCTGTCGCTGCTGCTGTTGCCGCGGCTGCTGTTGCTGTTGCTGTTGCTGCTGCTGCTGCTGGAAAAATATGGCTTGTTCTCTCTGTTCAGGTTCAGCTGCTGCAGAAGACATTTTGCGTCCGCCTTCTAGCTCTGCAGACGCGGCTTTTGCTGCTGCTGCTGCTGCTGCTGCTGCTGCTGCCTTCACT